TAATTTCATTTTGTAATTGATTCCTATAGTCTTAAGAAGGGCTGTGTTGTTTTAAACAATATTTTATTTCTATTAACCATGATTATTTACAATACTGATATTGTGGATCTGAAAACAAGACATAGCTTATATAAATTCATTTCCGTGTAAATTGTAAATTTCCATAATGTACAAATTTCAAAGATATTATATCTTACATTTTTACAAATAAATAAATAAATAAATAAATTTTCATGGTCATCATCATCGTCATCATCACCATCATCATCATCATTTAACATCAATAAAGGGCTGTGTTTATTGATTAAATTATGTAGTCGAGTGCAAACTATTGATATTATTGCTCGTGATTTGAGTTACTTATATATCCTATTTCCCGTCAGTAAATAGGAAACGTATCTATTATTATTGTTTCTGTGTACTGTAGGCTATATATAGATACAAATACTGTGGCAGCCCTCAATATTCTATACAAGCATATTGCGTATAACAATGTATCTATTATTATTGTTGATATATACAAAAGTAGATACTATTGTAGATTCTGTGACGGTACTAACTATCATATACAAGTATATATATCGACTAATAAATGAAATGAAATGAAATGGGGTTTAACGTCCTACTGTTATGCTCCTATACTGGCTAATGAAGACGGGCATACGCCATACAGTGTGCTATGAGGGAAATTTTGCCCGGGCAGCGGCACCATCGCCTACTCTTATATCGAATTCCAACTGCCAGGGGATCTTTTACGTGCATTCTAATATATACACGGGACCTCGGTTTTTCGTCTCATCCAAAGGACTAGACAGCTGTCCTTGTCAGGCCCTCTGTTCTGCACCACTGCACCACGTCGGAAAATCTGGATGTACTTTCTCGGCCAATGCAGGGATCGAACACCCGACCTCCAGGCTAGCGAGCCAGCGTCTTAACCAACTAGCCACCGTGGCTCCTGTATGACGTATAATAATGTATATGTTAATATTGTTATATTTACAGCACTCGATACATGTAACGATGTTTCACCTGGTTGTAGAAACTGTCCCAGGAGTAACTACTATCCTGTATCAGAATACTATTTAAAGAACTGTATGCTATCATGTGGTGTTTGTAAACGTAAGAAACCATTCTTTTCTTCTGTAAATTCATTGCAAGTATTAATTCTAACTCTGAAATCCAGATATGATCAGTTGAATAGTTAATGTGAAAAATCTACAAAAATTAACAACCAAAAGTCTCACCCCTATATAATTTTGTGAACCGCTAAATGGTCTGGAATAAATACCCGAAATATATATATTGTTAATTGAATTATTGTTTAATAAATCCCTGAAGAGCCGCTATCGCGGTGAAAACGTTAGCATAAAAATGTAGTTTTATTTTGCCATCTTTAATTTCAATTATATATTACCAAAGAGCAGCTTTAATTAACTATTTTATCTTTGTATTTAACAGATTGAAACTTATAAACTTATTATTTAGTAATATTTTTTTGTTTAAGGCAAAAAAATATTTGGCAGTGGCTATTTGCCACATGTGGTAAGCAAGAATTTCAAAATAGCCTTACGACTAAAGACCGCAATTGTCACCCGATTTTAATGAAACTTACAGATTATGATGACATTGATAACATCGCTGAGTGGCAAAACTTTAGGCCACAATTATCAACCGATTTCAATGAAACTTACAGAATATGACAACATTAATAATATCTCAGAGTAGCCAAAATTTCGGCCACTTCCGGTTAACGGTTTCCGAGATATCAGGTTACCACACATTTCATGTGGCACGGCTACAGACCACAATTATCAACCGATTTCCATGAAACTTACAGAATATGGTAACAGTAATAATATCTCAGAGTAGGCAAAATTTCGACCACTTCCGGTTAGCAGTTTCGGAGATATCAGGTTACAACACATTTCATGTGGCACGGCTACAGACCACAATTATCAACCGATTTCCATGAAACTTACAGAATATGATAACATTAATAATATCTTAGAGTAGGCAAAATGACTTGAATAATATCTCAGAGTAGACAAAATTTCGGCCACTTCCGGTTAGCGGTTTCCGAGATATCAGGTTACCACACATTTCATGTGGCACGGCTACAGACAACAATTATAAACCGATTTCCATGAAATTTACAGAACATGATAACATTAATAATATCTCAGAGTAGGCAAAATTTCGACCACTTCCGGTTAGCGGTCTCGGAGATATCAGGTTATCACACATTTCATGTGGCACGGCTACAGACCACAATTATCAACCGATTTCAATGAAACTTACAGAATGTGACAACATTAATAATATCTCAGAGTAGCCAAAATTTCGGCCACTTCCGTTTAGCGGTTTCCGAGATATCAGGTTACCACTCATTTCATGTGGCACGGCTACAGACCAAAATTATCAACCGATTTCCATGAAACTTACAGAATATGGCAACATTAATAATATCCCAGAGTAGGCAAAATTTCGACCACTTCCGGTTAGCAGTTTCGGAGATATCAGGTTACCACACATTTCATGTGGCACGGCAACAGATCACAATTATCAACCGATTTCCATGAAACTTACAGAATATGATAACATTAATAATATCTCAGAGTAGGCAAAATTTCGACCACTTCCGGTTAGCGGTTTCGGAGATATCAGGTTACCACACATTTCATGTGGCACGGCTACAGACCACAATTATCAACCGATTTCAATGAAACTTGCAGATTATAATGACTTTAATAATATCTCAGAGTAGACAAAATTTCGGCTACTTCCGGTTAGCGGTTTCCGAGATATCAGGTTACCACACATTTCATGTGGCACGGCTACAGACCACAATTATCAACCGATACCCATGAAACTTACAGAATATGATACCTTTAATAATAACTCAGAGTAGGAAAAGTTTCGGCAACTTCCGGTTAGCGGTTTCCGAGATATCAGGTAACCACACATTTCATGTGGCACGGCTACAGACCACAATTATCAACCGATTTCCATGAAACTTACAGAATATGACAAAATTAATAATATCTCAGCGTAGCCAGAATTTCGGCCACTTCCGGTTAACGGTTTCCGAGATATCAGGTTACCACACATTTCATGTGGCATGGCTACAGACCACAATTATCAACCCATTTCCATGAAACTTACAGAATATGGTAACAGTAATAATATCTCAGAGTAGGCAAAATTTCGACCACTTCCGGTTAGCAGTTTCGGAGATATCAGGTTACAACACATTTCATGTGGCACGGCTACAGACCACAATTATTAACCGATTTCCATGAAACTTACGGCATATGACAACATTAATAATATCTCAGAGTAGCCAAAATTTTGGCCACTTCCGGTTACCGGTTTCCGAGATATCAGATATCAGGTTACCACACATTTCATGTGGCACGGCTACAGATCACAATTAATAACAGATTTCAATGAAACTTGCAGATTATAATTAAGCCGTGCCACATGAAATGTGTGGTAACCTGATAGCTCGGAAACCGCTACCCGGAAGTGGCCGAAATTTTGGCTTCTCTGGGATATTATTAAAGTAATTATAATCGGCAAGTTTAATTGAAATCGGTTGATAATTATGGTCTGTAGCCGTGCCACATGAAATGTGTGGTAACCTGATATTTTCGAAACCGCTAACCGGAAGTGGTCGAAATTTTACCCACGCTCAGATATTATTAATGTGATCGTTATCTGTAAGTTTCATTGAAAACGGTTGATAATTGCGGTACGGAGACTTGCCACATGTGGCAAATAGTCTCCGGATTGTCTTACCACATGTGGCAAATAGCCCCAGCCAAAATATTTTTTGGGAGATCCCCAAACTCATTTGGAAGAAATCACTTAAAATACATCTATGATGATATTATCTAAATATTTCACACACTATCATTTTTTGTTAGTTTGTTTTAAGCAATATTCCCAATATATTACAATCATAAACTTGGTGTTTTACATGTTATTTACAGGGGTTAACGTTGCTCTAAATAAACCAACCAAACAGAGTTCTATCTATTCTGATTCTAATGCTGGACACAATGAATCTCTGTCACGTTCATCTAATGCTGTGGATGGTTATACTGATAGTAACTGGGACAACGGACACTGTTCACATACACGTATTGATAAACCCAGTTGGTGGTGTGTTAATCTACAACAGATATATAATATTTCATATATCAGACTACTCAATAGAGATCGTAGTAAGTGTATTCAATCACTGTTATTTGTGACAGTATTGTCTTTAAGACTATAGTCATTTATATTCCCTTTTCATGCCATCGAATACAAAAATTGCTTATTACATCAAGCTGCAGTGGGTTGGGTGGTCGAACGATTTAGGGGCGCGGAATGACTAGGCCCGTAACTAAAGGCGAAGCCCCCCCCCCCTTGCAAAATGTTGTCGACCATCGAAATACACGGTGCGTCAATTTTACAGCACCCCTAAGAACGCTTCCCACTCCCTCGTTGCGCTGAGCTAGTTACGGCCCTGTGAATGACGCGGCTATTAAATGAAGCTAAAACTAAAAACGTACCGTATTATGATATCATGATACTTGTATCGACAATAGACCTTTCTAAAGATCACGCTCTAAACAGTTCGATCACCCAACCCACTGCAGCTTGGTGAAATAAACAATCTTTGTTGATCTACGATTCAAGATATTGCAAATATACGTTAGTGACATTCAACATTAACTAATTATTTAATATCACCAACTAGTTATAAGCACACTAATCAAGCAAGATCTTAGGCAAAACATAAATTCCTGCTTGTATCCCCTCTGCATCTTTTAACATGACTGCAATGGCTACTTTATAATTAAGTTTAAATGTATTTTATTTTATTGTATATTTAAGATCGAGAAAGATTACGTGGATTTGAGATAAAGACAAGTTCTAGTGGTCAGTGTAGTAATGAAGAATTTCAATCAGCTACAACATGCTATACAGATAGAACACGGACTACTCTTTATTATGTAAATAGATGTAATCAACCTACATCAACTAGTATATCTGCTAGAACAGTCTATGTCAGTGTTTCAAGTCAAGTACTTACTTTATGTGAAGTTCAGATATATTCCGGTAAGAACATATATTAAAACATATAAAAGTAGTCTGTGGCTAGTAGTTAATACTATTTTTATTTTTGATTAGTTGTCTAGTTCTACGTGATAAAACCAGACAAGGTCCAAATTAGTTTAAAGTGAATAGACAATTATACAAACTGTTGGCAAGGTCTCACACATTTGACAACTATTAGTAATTAAAATTTTGTCCCCAAAACACCTCTCATATATGGTGTTAATTACCTTTAAAACTATATCTCAAGACCCTTGGATTTCAAAATTACCGCTATAACGCCATTCATGGTAATCGGTTTAATATTATTTTTCACATGCCGCAATTGTAAATTATATGGCCAAACATATCAAATAAAATTTTCTTGATGATTTTGGATCAGAAAACAGGTTGACCCGAAGCATATCTTTATAGATATTAAAATTCCATTATTTCCTAATGAGTGCCAGGCTTTGGACTTGATAGATAGATAAATTAATTACTGCTCCACTGTGGCGTATATTACAAGCCGTATTAATGCTCTTGGCGTGAAAACTATGTTTATAAAAAAATTACAAGATTTTTTCGAAAACACGAATATTCAAAACTTTGTTGAAAGTAAATCACACCCATTTGAATCTCCAATCAAAATTGAAAATGATTAGGTCTTTGCTAACCTGACGAAATTTAACTCTGATTTAAGTCTTTATTCAACCCTGATTCATGTTTTAGAAGTCTTTTTTGCCGAGTTTAGAAAGAACATCGCAAAAATTTGACTTGTGTATCGTGATGACTTCAATCTTGCATGTTCGAGTTCTGCCATGCCCCACAACGAATTACCAGAAGCTAAATTTTCTTTATAAAATGAATAAATCTGGCGAATGGCTTAAATTTTGTTAACCTGATCAACGTAATTTGGTCTTAATGAATGCTCACACGATAACTGAAATTGACTCTCTAAATTTAAGAAAAAGGCTGAGAGAAATCGAAAAGAAAAGGCAAGCTCTTCTTTTGGCGAAAAAGAATGGATTTATAGAATTGGGGAAACGTGGGATTAGGGAAAAGAGCGCCTAACAACAGAAATTAGCGGAGTGGGTCTTTGGAAAAGTAAGGAGGGTATGGAATGAAAGGGGACGTAAAGAGGGTATGGAATGAAAGAGGCACGAAAAGTAACAACACCGTTGTCTTAAATCAGCAAGTTTCGAATAAGTCTATATTTCATTTCTCTGTCGCTGGTAAGGAACACTCGTTTCCAGTCTTAAAAGAACATTTACAAAAATTAATTGACCTGCCTGATCCTACCTAACCGGAAGAAACCTTCAATGCCCCTTTTTAGCGGTTATAAAAAACAATTTCCTCATTTCTTCATTTCTAAAACCATTGTATTTGTCATCCCAGACGTCCCAGTCGACCGACTTTCCAACACTTTTGCCAGTATTTTAAAGAATTATTATTTAATAGCTGGTCACGATGAGATATGTTTTTGTTAATGTTATCGATCGCTTTCAGTCCCTATATCGAGTTATAGAAAATACATATTTAAAATTATCAGCATATTTATTCTGGTGTAAATACTATCATACATGAAGGAACGTGATCCAAAATTTGACTTTGTTCTTAGTTATGTATCTTCTAGTTCGTATTCACCAATTCACACCCTACTTCAATGGGGATCACGGTGGCTAATAGCGCCATAATAGAACTATATTAAGGTAATAGTGTGCAGAGAAAATGTTATATACATGTTAAGAATCAAACATTATCAATTCATAATATCCTTGGAGTGACAATTGTGCACATGAACATAGGCTTCAAACTTAAATGACAAACCTCTATGTCCCAAAATTTACTATATTTAGTGACTAACAAACAAAACAATAAAGATGTAGGTAAGATAGTTGTGTTAAATTATTTATCTCCAGAGAATTCTGCCTTAAAAGGTTTACAGTAGCCCTTTTCAGTGTTAAATTGTAAGAGCACTGGAAGGACAAGACTTCTATGATGTATAGTGTTAAAATAGAACTGGAAAGTAAAGGCTTGCATACCTGGCACAGTCTATAGTTAAGGTCATTTCACTGGGACACACCGTCGCGCAGACGGCAGAAATCAAGTCTGCTACTTATTGTGTAAAATCTTATCAGCTCGTAAATATAAGCTAAGCTTTGTAATTGTTAAAACACCATGCATCCACTATTAAATATAAATGATTAGAAAACGATAAAGTAACTAATTTTTGATTTTTAATTATGAATTGTAGTATTCGTATTGACTTAGATTACCCTTACTGAATATCAGATTAGCAACAATAGCTTTAACATCATATGTGCATACTATGTAAATTTGTGTAATTATATCTTGATTGAATTTTCAAATTGAATAGCACAACCTTTTAATACATATTTTAATTAACCTAATATAAATATATTTATGAATTAATATATTGATCCATTGATTTATTGATTTATTATTTCATCAATGTGTTAATGTGTCAATGGTTCTGTATTTTGATTCAGGAGGGGGGTTGGGTGGCTGAATGGTTAGCGTGCGCGCGCTGTATCATAAAGTCTGTCATTGAGTCGACTGGCGTGGTTTCGAATCCCCGGTTGTACGTGACAAGGAGTAGGGGCGCCTGTCCAACCTCGTGGGTTTTCTCCGGGTCCTCCGGTTTCCTCCCACTGCTAAAGACCCCTATGCGTAAGCGAATTATTGAAATAAAATTAAACCATATGTTAGTCCCGAAATGACCTAGTTTGTGTCGAGTGGACGTTAAACCCCATTTTTCTCTCTCTCTCTTTGATTCAGGAATTTATTTCTTGTCTTTTCCTTTTTCTTGTTTTTAAAAAATAAATAAATAAAATCAAATAAACAAAAATAATGCTTTTAATTAACTAAGAATGTTTTGTGCTGTTCCATGATTAAAATGTATGTACAGTGTATTATGATTATATATTTATTGAATAAACATATTTACAAGAAAAAAAAAAAGAAAAAAAAGACGCTGGCTCGCTAGCTTGGAGGTCGGGTGTTCGATCCCTGCATTGGCCGAGAAAGTTCATCCAGATTTTCCGGCGTGTTTCTCCCTTGTCAGTGTCTCCCTTGTCAAACTGTGCTAATGAAGACGAGCATACGCCATACAGTGTGCTATGAGGGAAATTTTGCCCTGACAGCGGCACTATGGCCTACTCTCATATCGAATTCCAACTCTCAAGGGATCTTTTACGTGCACGCCAATGTGTACACGGGTCCTCGGTTGTTCGTCTCATCCGAAGGATTAGACAGCTGTCCTTGTCAGGCCCTCCGTTCTGCACCACGTCGGAAAATCCCGATGAACTTTCTCGGCCAATGCAGGAAATGTCTGATCAGACACGCATTTCAATTCAGGTCCCATTTGAACGACTATACGTTGTCCCTTGCCGGGAAACCTCGATAAACTTTCTCGGCCATCGCAGGAAATGTCTGATCAGACACGCATTTCAATTCAGGTCCCATTTGAACGACTATACGTTGTCCCTTGCCGGGAAACCTCGATGAACTTTCTCGGCCATCGCAGGTATTGGACACGGAACCTCCAGTATAGCGAATCACAGTCTTACTCACAGTGACTCCCTCCAAAGAAACACAAATGCATTCGAAGGATAAACCGAACGGATATGTAGCCTCCTTTCGGGCATTTAATAATGTGGGATTGCCCTTCCAGCGAAGATTTGGTTAATGTAATAAAATCTAATTTATTAGAAACGATTTGCATGGATATAAGGCAAATGACAACAGCGTCGTATTCCATCAGGAGTCACCAATCAGTGTGTCAAAACGGGTCATAGTTCAATTAGGTCAATTCTGCCACGCTGCAAAGCTATATGTGGTATTATAATAGCGATAGGCTGCTAAAAAAAATTTTCATTTACTTTTCATTTGATTCAGATTTTAACTTTCATTTAATTTCACTTTTCATATTGAATTCATTTTAATTTTGATTTGAATTTGGACATACATAGCACAATGTAATACTGAATTACATGTCAACCATATAATATAATCTATATGTCATATATATTACAGATTATCAGTGTAATACTGGATACTACAGTACATCAAGTTCTACATGTCAACCTTGTAATACCTGCCTTAATGATAAATGTAATCCTGGTACTGGTTATTGTACTGATGGATGTAAAGACGGTTATTATGGTAGTAAATGTGAAGACCGATGTAGTGATGGGTGTTTAAACAATCAGTGTAATCAGATAGGCGGTACCTGCACATGTATGGACGATTATTACGGTGATACATGTCAACAGCCCTGTAGTCCTAACTGTATAAACAGTAAATGTTCCACTACATTTTCATCACCAAAATGTACAGATGGTTGTATTGATGGTTATCAAGATTCTTATTGTCAATCACCATGTCCTGTTAACTGTAAAACATGTCAACAAGATGGATCATCATGTATTGCATGTAATCCAGGATGGTTTGGTACAAACTGTTTTTCACCATGTTCTAGTAATTGTGTCGGAGGATGTAATAAGTTAGATGGTAGATGTAATGACTGTAAACCTGATACAGTTGGTCCATACTGTAACCTTACATGTGGTCCAGAATGTCAACCAATAACACACCAGACCAGTGTCACTTGTGATAGAACTGGTAGATGTACTGACTGTCTTATAGGAATATATGGTAAAGGATGTAATATAAGCTGTAGTACAGGATGTAATGGTGGATGTGGAAGAGATGATGGTAAATGTACTAACTGTATTATAGGAAGGTATGGTGATAAATGTGATAAGAAGTGTAGTACAGGATGTGATGGTGGATGTAGAGGAGATAATGGTAGATGCACTGACTGCATTGTAGGAAGATATGACGATAGATGTGATAAGAACTGTAGTACAGGATGTGATGGTGGATGTAGCAGACGTATTGGTAGATGTAGGAACTGTATTATAGGGAGATATGGTCATTATTGTGATAAAAACTGTAGTACAGGATGTGATGGTGGCTGTGATAGAAATAATGGAGAATGTACTAGCTGTATAGAAAGCAGATATGGTAAAGAATGTTATAAGAGTTGTAGTACAGGATGTGATGGTGGCTGTGGTAGAAATTATGGAGAATGCACTAGCTGTATAGGAGGCAGATATGGTAAAGACTGTTATAAGAGTTGTAGTACAGGATGTGATGGTGGATGTAATAGAAGTGATGGTAAATGTACATCTTGTATTAAAGGTAAAACTGGAGACATGTGTGACATTGACTGTAATAATAATTGTACTGTTTGTAATCAGGGTAATCCCAACTCTTGTACTGAATGTAAAGATGGAAGATGGGGATCATCATGTAATAAACTATGTAATATTAACTGTAAACCAGTAGTTGGTACAACTGTTGGTAAATGTAATATAACAAGTGGATTATGTACTGATGGATGTAAAACGGGATTATATGGTATAGATTGTAATAATGATTGTCGGTCTAACTGTAAAGATGGTTTATGTGATCAGATGACAGGAAATTGTATCATTGGATGTTTACCTGGTAAAATAGGGTCTAACTGTACAACAGGTAGATTTTATTTTTTCTTACTTTTATTTTAATATAATTCGTATAATGTTATATGTTTATAAAATTAGGTCTACCCATTGCTCAAGGTATTTTTATTGTGGTATAAGGTGTGTGCTTTAGATCATAAGGCCTGTTACTGTGTCAACCGTTGTGGTTTTAATTCCATGCTTTTATATGACAACCTCTGGATTCTGCAAGTTCGGCGTGGTTTCTCCTTGTCAGTGGTGCAGCTGTATAGTCGTTCGGATGGGACGAAACAGCAAGGACCAGTGTATACATTGGCGTGCATGTTAAAATTCGATATATGAGTAGGCCATAGTGCCGCTGCCCGGGCAAAATTTTCCTCATAGCATACTGTATTGGTATACCCGTCTTCATTAGCCCAGTAGGAACAGAACAGTAAACCCAATTTCATTCCATTTCAATTCATTCTCCAAGTTCCTCCCACTGCCAAAAGCCCCTTTGCACTAACAAATTATTGTATGAAAATTTACTTATTTTTGTGTTGTATAGATGATACGAAAAAAATACCAATTGTCTTGTATTGACAGCTTGTTCATAAGGAAGTTATGTTTGTCTTGTATTAACAGACTGTGAAGCTGGTAGTTATGGTGACAACTGTACGAGACAATGTGGCAATTGTGGTAATAAAAGACCATGTGATGTAACTACTGGTAGTTGTGGACTTGTCGGATGCGCTGATGGGTTTCAAGGTCCAACTTGTCAGGGTAAGCTAGTATTTATTTAGTTAGTGCTGGTTCAGGTTGTGTTGCTTTGGATGTTTAATATCCACAATTTAGTTCCTGTCGGCCACTTTTTGAAATACACTGCGTTAATGACAAAAGAAACGCCCTAGTCGGTTCCTGCCGGTTATGGACCCAAATAGTAAACAGCTGTAATATTATACATTTTGCATAGATAGTTCAAGCATGTGATCACCATGGTAATTACAAATCAACATTTTATTTACTATTTATATTTTGGGTTTTTAAGTGATTATACATCTACTTTGAGTTAAGTATCTTATATCAAGGTATTATCTAGATGTTGAATTGGAAGAAAAACTTTTATTAATAGTTGTATGGTGGTTGCAATCAGGGCGACAAAACAGCGGCCCACCCCCATCTCCCCTTTTAATTAAATTGTCGATCAGAAGTTAAACTCATTACGTACCTATGTTCAAAGAAGACGAATATTGTCATACCAGGGACGAACAAATACCTATATTATTAACCATTTATTTTGCTCTGTATTCTAAATGTCGGAAACATCCTTGTCCGTAACAGTAAAAATACTCAATTCCAAGATGACCATTTATCCCGGAACGTTCCGAACCGCTGTTACATAAAAAGGCGTAAGTTAACGTAAAGTGACATTACAAATACATAACTGTATGGTGGACAGTTAAGGCCATAATACATTGAATACCAAAACACTTAAAATAATAAACCCGAATTATACAATATTATCTTTAATAGAACGTGTACCTGTTTCTACAAGTACCACATTAGGTCCTGTGGTTTATGTTGTGATTGGTGTTATATGTGGTATATTTGGCAATGTAGTTGTTTTCCTCTCGTATCATTTCTACAAGAAAAGGTAAAATTTATTATTCACGTCATAAGGAAATATTTAGTCTCATGTCAAAAGGAAGTGGTGTGTCCTAGGGTTTTGGACTCCGAATTGCTCGCTCAACGCATATTAACGTTTTCTACACTCATCGAAAATAAAGTCGAACAAACAAACGCGCTAATTAACCTTCGTTTTGGCCCCGTTGCACCCTAGACATGTACATGTATACCAGTATGCATTTAAATGAGCAGATATGTTTACTCACAGCCTGCGATTTGATAAAATCCCCGGGTAGGCCTGCTGGACCTCAAGCCACACTTGAATTAGCTCGATCTGGGCCCCCGGACTACCCAAAATCATGAACACGCCTGTTATTTCATTAATAATAAACTCCGAATTCTTTCTAAAGGTGATATAAAAAACAAGTTATGGCTGAATGATTATAAAATATGTACAAAGTGTGACGTGGTCTTCCTACGCTTTATATCATAATTCTGCCATTATTCGTGGTATCGATCTCAAACTTGCAATGGCAAGAAGGTGACCTGGTCATGGGTTTCCACTCGCTGCTAAGGATGCCCATGCGCAAGCGAGCTTCTGCAATTTACCAACGGGCGGGCCTATTGAAATCAAATTGTACCATATATTTGGTCTCGAAATGAGATAGTTTTGTGGAGTAGACGTTAAACCCCATTCTCTCTTTCTATGGATGAACTTTGACAGGGCCAAGTTATATGATCTGGAACATTTAAACCAAGTTTACAAATTTCCATCCGGAAGTTTTTTTCATTACGCCCCAAGTATAAGTCACCAGCAGGATACAATAATGATATTCTTTATTTCATGTATGAAAGGTCCATATTACAATTTGTCATCACATTTGTGAGAATAATCAAGATGAATTCAAATTATCTTAAGTAATGGCTCTAATAATTAGAAAAGTGTGACTGTTAGAAGGAATATTAATATAATTGAAAGATACAAAACAATGATTTGGAGAAAACTAGTTATATTATTCATTGACTGATAGATAGAATATACCCAGTCTGAATTCAATATTATAGACAGGATATACAACCTATATTATAGCAGGATGGAGTATAAATTCTTAACTTATATGACTGTATTTCAGACGCCAGTCAAGTCCAAGTCCACAAAATGATGAAATTATTCCCGATTACATTTACACCTCTAGTAATTTAAACCCGACTAGTTCTACAACAGATGAAATTATTCCCGATTACATTTACACCCCTAGTAATTTAAACCCGACTAGTTCTACAACAGATGATACATTAACCACTGGACGTAAAAATATTCCAACTAATACACGTAATGTAGTGTATGAAAACCAGTCGTTTAATACAGAAGACGATGTGAGAAATATGTATGATACATTAGATGACACAGTAGATGATACGCCCAATACGTATACGTCTATAGAATAAAAATAATACTGTATATGGTATATAAGACATATGTATGGTATATTAGATAACACATTTGATAATACATCTACAGATATAATCAAATAGATGTAATACTGTAGATTGTATATAAGAAAAACTTTAATATAAAGCATGCCATATAGATGTAATACCGTAGGTTGTATATTAGAAATACTTTTATATAAAGCATGACATCTAGATGTAATAATGTTGGTTTTATATAAGAAATACTTTAATAAAGCATGATATATAGATGGAATAATGTTGGTTTTATATAAGAAATACTTTAATAAAGCATGCTATATAGATGTAATAATGTTGGTTTATATAAGAAATACTTTAATAAAGCATGCTATATAGATGTAATAATGTTGTTTTTTTATAAGAAATACTTTAATAAAGCATGATATACTGTATATTTTATACAAGAAATGTTTTAATACAAAGCGTGACATAAATTTAATACAAAGCGTGACATAAATTTAATACAAAGCGTGACATAAATTTAATACTTTGGATTTTATATAGAAATATTTTAATGAAGCATGATATATATATAATACTATAGATTTTATATAAAGCATTATACATGTAATACATGTGGAATTGATATAGGAAATATGTACAATATCTAGCAAAACATTTGATGAATTCCTTCTCTAAACCATTTAGTATAATATATCCTCATTTGAATAATTATTATTGGTATCGGCGAATCGCACATTGGACGGGTTATGCTTATTCTTTGTAAAACAGTTCATGTCACTGGGTCCAATAGTTTATAATATAGTTTATTAATAATTCAATGTTAAGTATGCGTAATCCTGTACTGTTATATAATTTATATAGATAGGTTTTAGCTGATAGATGTAGGTTACATGTAAGGATTTCAAATATACATCATACCAACCCGTCGATGTATTTCATTTATATCTTATAAGATTACTTTATTATGTTCAGAAATCTTTTGGGTATTTCTATTGGAGGTCATTACCCATCTTCATTAGCCCAGCCGGGGCAGAACATTTGGAAGTTAAACCTCATTTCATTTATGACATATTATGTTTTTGTATTATTCTCGTCATGCAGAATGGAGAAATGTAATGTGCAAAATAACCTTTATACTATATTTTGTATTATTGAAAAGTGTATTATGTATTAGTTTTAGTACACTTTCCGAGGTGTATCGGTGAATATCAGGACAGTTTTGGTCGAGGGGCCCAGCCGAGGCGGCTCCCGACCAAAACTGTCCTGATATTCACCGATACACCGAGGAAAAGTGCTAATAAGTTACTTACATCACATTTCGATCGAGTATTGTGAAGCAAAATGTGAAAAATAGTATTTATTATCGAGTCGTTTCAACCGAAAAGTGACAAACACTTTCTGCTCTTTCATTTATCCCTTTCTGAGCCTCACGTTACATTTCATGGTAGAATGATTTCGCAGTGGAGAGACGACCTGAGTAGTATTTACACGTGCGTATTGCTATGATACTATGATCGTAAAACAATCACGTGTTTGTTTAGACCACATCGTCAAAACAACTTGTCTATGGCGTAGAGGACTGCGATATTATTAAATGTAGTGTAAAGGAAATGCGAAACGTGGGTCATTCCTGGTGAAAGTATGCATCGGCGGATGGTTCTTCCATTGAAATTCATTTGTAATAAAGTTTATGACTTTCTAGGCGTTTTTTTTTCATTCTGCTTATTTTCAATGCCTGTGAAGTGTCCAGCAAGAGAACTGCGCCTTCTATCATCACAATTAATTAAAATAATTATTCAATATTCTAATTTATATATTTTGCATATTAATATAAATCAAACCAAATTATGAAATAGATGCCAATTGATATGTATAATAATTGATTTTTGTAATATGTTGTTATGTTAATTTAATGGCATTGTATATGTTTTTGAACTGCCATGTAGTTCCGCCGGTTTGTTTTGTTAATATGATTTTGACTAGTTGTTTCATGTACATTATCCTTGTGCATTGTATAGAGCCATCGTTATCAATTGCGATCTGGGTCGGACTAAACGTCCGCTACTTATTGCTTGATAGGTATCTAAAACAGTATAAAAGTATCCGTGTATCAAAAATGAACAGTACTCTTTTCTGTATATTTCTGATACACGGATACTTTTAAGCATGTATTGAAAATAAACAGGACAGTTTTATCAAAGGTTGCCAGTGGCAACGAGTAGAAGTGGGATGTAAATATTTTAACACTAGACAATGGTATTGTGGAGCAATGGAAATTGCAAAATTGTAAAACTAAAATAAGTATTGTATTTTGAACTGCTGACATATACGTATACGTGACAACTGAATTATGGGATGTATAGAGATTACACATTTTTAAACCGGGGATGTATATATCCATGTCCTTGACTACTAGACATAAATTATATAAGTATACATATTAATTTAAATAGTTTAACTAGTAATTATTGTATTTTTTTTATCACGCTTCACTTGGTAGTGTATTATTATATTGGTAGTAGAATGATCGAATTAGCCCAAAAATATGTATAAGTTTCGTTCTTGTGCAGCAGATATTTCATGTTGGTCTCAAAGCAGATGATTTGATTTATTAGCCAGACAGCATGAATAATAATTTGCATGATAAGTTGAGATATTTTATATAGACTGCTGTGTCGACCAAGGCACGTTTTAGCAAATTGTGTCTTATTTTTGTACTTTTTTTTATATTTTTAAAGGATATAATGTATTTTAGATTGTATAACTGTTTATTATAACATTAACAATAATCTCGCCTTTTTAATACTGTGCTATTTCAATACTTTTATATCTATTTATGAATGTTAACATTATGCTTTATAACATAGTTCATAATAATCAATAAACAATATTTACTCTCTCAAATGTCCAGAAATTCCCTAACAATTATTTAACTTTTCTGACATAGGAGTCAGTGCTGTGACACGTCTAATCTACATGACTATTTAGTCTTGTAATAGTGACTGTTTGTTTTAATTTAATGGAAGCAGCTCCTCAATGTGGAAAATAAAACACCATTGTTTTTTTGAATAATGGACAGATGTATCCATGTCCACAGATGGACTAAGACTAGTAATTATTTCCCTTTATTTCATGATAAATGTAGTTCGAGTTATTAATAGACATTTTTTCCCTTAATCCCCCCCCCCCTTTCCTGCATTTTTGGGATGGTTTGTTGGTCTAGAATTGGAGAAAAGGGATCAAATTTGCAATTTCCTAGCAGTTTTTGGTAATACTGATGATATTACAGCAGAGGATTAGGGGGTGTAAAGTGTCTTTTTGCGAAGCAATCATTGTGTCGGAAGTGAGATTTTCACCCCAGTCAAAATCAAATCCTCGTAGGAAAAAATCTAAATGATCAACCCCTACAAGATTGCCAAATGTGGTCCCCTATGTGCCTATAAAGATTGGAATCAACGGAATGTTGGTAAAAAGCTACATCCTGTGATGTTACAGCCATTTAACATTGAAGTCAATGGGCAAATAATTGGGGTCATTTCCGAGTGTCACTAAACCTGTATTGGTTTTCTTTCTGTGGATTTTTCGGTAATCAGGAATATATCTATGAAAATATTGTCGCCATTTAAACCTTCTGAAAACGTTAAAGATTTGCCCGTTTAAACGGTTTTAAAATCTTTAAAGATGTGCACTTTTACATGGAGATATTCGATCTTACATCACAACATACAATTATTGATAAGTCTTTCCATTGTTGTTTTATAATGTCCAAGGGCGGGTCCAGGGACAGGCGGCGAAGCTACCGAACATTATTATCTTATATCTATATCTAACGAACAATTGCAGGATATGAAATCAAACTGTTTAGGTAATGGGCGGAGTGTGGTTGGAATATATAACACGTTCAATTTGAGTTAATGTTTTGTAACCGTATCGTCATATAAAAACCAAGCTGTAAGTAATCGAGAAACGAATGAACACCCCATAATGTTTGGACCCATGTCAATGCTCCACTGGGATGTTGAAACATCAACCTATCATTATTTCTTTTCTCATCTTCCTTCCCAGTTAAGTAGTGATAAAATAATATTTGGTACGGACGAGGCCACATCTTTGTATGAAATATTCGAAAATTCAAATTTCTTACTTTCTACAAAGCACATTAAACATACATTATGCAAAAGCTAAATCTGCCTATTTCAAGTCTTTCCTTAGGCCTGAAATGTTAGCTAAATTATTAATTAGACATTAATGAACTTATCCAGACCATAACGAAATCTCGATGTCATAGCTAGCCTGCGATATTTACTGGATTTTAATCCGATTTGCTGCTTAATGCTCATTGATGATTTAATCCAAAAATGGATAATCGAGACTGTTTTTATCGTACCGACTTTAGTAATGATGATCGAGGCTAATTTTCAGCAAATTCCCTTTACATTATCTCTAGCTTTTAACTATTATAGTGAGAACTGGTGGCTTTTTATCTAATCTCCCACAATTCCCCTTTAAGAAAACTTTTTGTCGATATTTAGAGAAATCAGGAGCATTACAAAAAAAGCGCTCAGCTCAGTCATAAGAAATTTAATTTTTTGTAAGAAAGTAATTGTATATTTGAAAAACGACATCGATGTCGAAATGAAAAAAGATGATTTGTATGTTTCTTTTGAACAAATTCCTAGATTTGAACATTATTGGGAAAGATATTTAAAACATAAATTGTTATTTAAGCCTCTCCAAAATACACTGATCTCAGAATCATGGGCTAATAACAACCCAGAATCAATTAATAATAAACTAAAACAAGAAACCGATTGGCATATTTAAAATTTACCTGTCCTTGTGCCAAAAATACAAATTCCCAGCTGCTTTGATAAAATTGCACTGATCAGGGTATAGGATGAAAATGCACCATGCCAGTCGAAGAGTTTATATGCGATAACCGGCTTCAAATTACAATGAATACAAACGTTTATATCGGCTTTCACGTTTTAGTCCATCGATTTACAATTAGACAAACGCTGTCTGAATCCCCCCCCCCCCCCCCGATGTCCATTTGACAACTTCGATCCCCATTTTCTACCAAACACATTGTTTCCACCGAAACCAAAGGTATGAAACTCCGATTTTGGCACAAAGAAATAGATTAAAACACAACTCATAACATTTGACACCATTTATGTTCATAAAATACAACATATCAGTAATTAATTCGATATGACACCCAACCCCGCAACACGAAATGGATGTGACAAGAAACTAATGGGAATAGTTGTTTGAATGAATTTAGACGAACTTCATATCTTTTTAATGTCTTCCCAACCCCGTTATAGCCGTACAACTTTACGCCAGTTAATTCACAAAGTCTATCCATTCATAACGACACTGACTTCATTCTTAAATGAAGTCTTCACCCATTGGTCGATAGAAACAAGTGCGCTGTTGTTCCCTGTACTGGCTGGATTTATGAATGAATTTTCTACAGTTAAGGAGATATAAACAGGACTGGTTTACAACTTGATATATAAATGCATCCATCTGGCAACACAACTGAAATGGATTTAACGGCCTACTTTTCTGTAGTAACCAGTGCGCTTACACCGATGATTTCACAGAATCATTCACTTTTCCTGCACGTACAACACGTAAATTTAGCATTCGATGAAGATCAGGTGGAAACACCATGCTGTTCGGGCGAAATGTCACCCGTATAGCCACCTTGATACAGAGAAGTACGACGTAAAGCCATATTTTCAAAATAACAACACCAACAACCTTAAGAATATCCAGTCGTCCCCATCTTGTTCACGGTGAATAGTCTATTACTGTAGTCCCAAAATGACAACACTATAAACCTTGATCTCATCTTGTTTACAGTGAACTACGTGTGATAAATATCAAACAACAGCTAGTTAACTGTAGATGAAGGTTATTTAAGCAGCGTGTACACCATCAACAAAGTGTTGTAGTGAACGGAAGCTCTTCTTGTGTCTGTCTTAATGTGTATAGGATATTAACTTACACGAGGTTGATATGATAAGAGAACACGCAGGCAAAGCCCAAGTGTTCTCTATCATATCAATCCGAGGGAGAGTAGGTTTATATCCGACTTAAATTTAATGGGCACTTCTATTAAACGCCAGAAATGATTAGACAATTGCCCGATAGTCCGCCAAATAGCAAAAATTACCGAAGTAATCACGTGATATACGTGCATTTTTTTGTTTATACGTCGCCATTTTAGAGTTCATGAAATGAAAGAAAAAAAACAAAATGGATCGTAATACGAAGTCAGACGAATAATCAATCCTTTTTAGCCAACATATTGACGATGAAATTAAGATCAAAAGGCATCGTTCAGGATAATTCTGATAGCTGTGAACCGTGATTTAAGGTTTTCGGTTATGTTCAGAGAAGGACTGTACCCAAAAATACTTTACAAAGGGCTCTTTGACGATAAATACTTTCAAGTGTGTGGAGAAATAATTGAAATGTGGACGGAAAGAAAATTCTGAAAGATATCTTAGACATGGAGTATGGATAACCGATTTAAATATTCCGATAAGTACGCCTTCTATTTCGCTCCCGAATGCTACAAACTGTACTATAACATTTTTTAATTTTCAAAAGAATAAAAATTTATTTCTGTGTTCTTTGTATTATTTCGATCATCAACGTCATCAACGGTTGATATGAGCCGAATATATCGACCTGAGATGACGTCATTTAGCGGTTGATATGAAATAACAACCTGTCATGACGTCATCAGCGGTTAATATGAACCGAATATATCTACCTACCTATGTCTACCTATGTCTGTTCCAAACGCAGGAGTCAACTTTCTCCTCTGTATTTGGCTCTATTTCGTCATCTATTTGAGTTACTTGTCTTCTCCCGGTTGCCTTTCCTTCACAATATGAATATGAGTAGTCCACCCGATTAGATTTTATTACATACTTCGAGAAGGTATTTGTTGAGTAATAAAAACTTCTAGTAGTTTATCGAGGGCTGGCCGTCCTTACCGCACGGTACAAATATTATCACCACTAGAAGGAACAAATTCCAGAACAAGCCAGAACTCATACCAAAATGGCCGCTTTATACAAATGAGTATTTAGGGGAATACTAACCCGAACCCTAACCCTAACCCTTTTAAAAGAAGTAAAAACTAAATTAGACCCAAGTTCAGTCTTTTAAAAAAGGTTAGGTTTAGGGTTCGGGTTAGTTATCCCCCAAATTCTCATTTATATAAAGCGGTCATTTTGGACTCCGGAAGCACCCGAACCTCGATAAACTATCCATTCCATATCCACCTATTTGTATCATGTCAAGCTGAGTGAGGGAAGTGGGTTTAACGTCAACTTGACACGAACTAGGTCATTCTGGACTAATATACGGTTCCATTTTATATCAATTATTTTCTTGCCCGTAGAAGTCTTTACCTATGCGAGGACCAGGAGGAAACCCATGAGGTTGGAGAGGCGACCCTACTCCTTGTCAGATATAATCGGGGAATTGGTAAATATAGTGTTGTGTTTCAAATGTTGGTCAGTGTGAACAGAATTTTACTTTTAATATACATGATCTAGGTAATAATATAATACATGTCACATGATCTGAGCTATAATCTAATAGTAACCTATGTCTATTTATAACTCGCAGTACATAAGGGGAAATAATTACTAGTCTTAATCCTATATGGATTATTTGCACATTGACTTCAATGTTAAATGGCTGTCACATCACAGACTGTAGCTTTTTGCTCAACATTCCGTTGGTTCCAATCTTTATAGGCACAATGGGGACTACATTTGACAATCTTCTCATCATAACTTTGCAGAGGGTTGACAGTTAAGATTTTTTGCTGCGGGGATTTGATGTTGACTGGGGTGAA